GGAGCGGAATGCACGGATCAGCCGCTCCAGGTTTAATTACCATAAATCATCAGCGCTCTCCTTCTCCCTCTTCTTCCTAATTGGATTTTAACTGGAATTTAGTATTCAGGACACATTTTTTTTAACTGATCATCTCATCTCAGAATCCAATCTATGTTATCAGTAGGAATATTACTATTAGAGCAAGAGAAAGAGAGAGAGAGAGAGAGAGAGAGAGAAAGGGGAAGAGAGTGAGAAGGAACTGAGAGAGAGAGAGAAAGTGATTGGGTAAATCTGGGTTACTCATACCACTGCATGAGGTCATCCATCTGAACTGTCAGTGGTACATTGTTTTTACTTTGAGACATCACCACAGACCAGCAGAGGGAGCTGTTCTTACATATGGCATTAACATAACAGAAGTTAACTGGAGATCAGCAAAAATAAGAGATCTGGCAAAAAAACAAAAACAATGTACACCATATTTTCAGAAATGAATTTAATGCCATGTCAGTTCCTACCCCAAATAAAAGTTGCAGAACTTCTTTGTAGTTCCAGGCCAGGATAAATCATAAATGCACAGGTAAGGCAAACAGTAAAGCTGCTTTGGCAGATGGGGCTAAACCACTTGCTGTTAGACTGACACTTCCCGGATGGACCAGTCTACAAGCATAGGATAATTCTTTGGAGACCCACTAAAATCAGACCAGCCTCCACAATCTGATTAACTTTTCTGCAACCTTTCTGTTACATACAACATTTGAACCCCTTACCAGTAATTTCATTTAACTGTGATCAAAATTAAACACACCCAAATGTTCCAAGACACGTTTTCAAGTAGAATTAAGTGCCTGTTTGTTTCCAAATGTACTTTGCTGCAAGTGAAGGCTGGCCATCACAGGATATCAACCAACTACTTATTTCAAAATAACCATTATTGTGCATGAATGCTTCCTTCAGAGTTTTTATTATGAACTGAATTTGCATTTAACTGATAGATTTGTGGATACACAAATCACTGGATGAAAAAAAACACTGTGTTTTGATTTGTATCAATCAATGCAGATCGGTACAATCTGTACAGATCAATAACACTATGCTTATTGGTCGACAATGATAATTACTGTGCCAGAGTAACAAGGGGTCAATGCCAGGTTCAAAACCACAAAATGGCACTGACAGTGAACAATGATGACGGCACATTTATAAGTATATGAGCATGAAGTACAATAATGATAGCAGGCTTTCTACCTCAGAATGTCACTATGCACATAACCTTGAGTGAATCTATCACACCGTGTTTAGCAGACTACACCACCAATCCCACCATGTCCTTCTATGTGTTAACAACCTTGTGTGTAGAAATATTTTATACAACCCTGTGGCCTCTGAGTCTGCCACGAGAACCTGTTCAAACTTGTTCATGTGGGCTTACCACATGAATCTACGTGCCTTTCAGTTTGTCACGCTGGATAAAAATGTCAGCTTGATGAATGAAGGATAGAGTAAACCCTCTCCATGGCCCATCTTATTTACTCTTACTGTGGAAGGTTTCAGTGAAATACCCCCCGGCATCCATTTATACAGTCTAAAGTCACTGAGAGTCTCCGGAAAAAGCAGAAACTCAAAGCGGGGGGGGCGGGGCACTTGAGTCAGGCAGTGCTTACAGAAATCCAAAATAAACAGTAAGGTAATGTCTGAAAAAGAAGCAGATGTGCAGAACAAAATCATAACTGCCAAAATGTTTCTTTTTCCATCCTTTGAAAGCCAGAGCAGAAGCAGGGACAGGCACAGTTTGGAGGCTGTGGTAAGAGCTAGTAATCTATGACAACTTTGGTGGATCCCTGACTGGTACCTTTTGCGCCATCTAGTGGCAGAGTGAAGGCACTGTCACTACTCTGTGGGGAGCTGCTGACTGTGTGAGCTTAATCAGTAAGCGAGAGAGGGACCTGCTCTTTCAAGGACCGCTAAGCCGCAACAAGAGAGCTCGCCAGGTGGCTTCCCTCACCGGCGCCGTCGGGTCCGGTGGTTCTGAAAGGGCAGAGTCGGTGAGGTGCTTCCTGAGGGGATGGCACCAGGCTCTGGCCCGTTTGGGACGGTGAGCGGTCCAGGCCCCAGGTGTCCAGTGACCCAGGCTGTAAGGTGGGCCCGTCGTACGGACCCGGGGAACTCTGGGAGTGGGGCGGTTCAGGGGATGGGGCTGGCACTTACTCACAGGGAGACATACAAAATCAAAATGTTTATTTATTCATGTTTTCACCACTGAAAGCACATTCAAAAACTTGGAGAACACGTGAGGCATCCCCTGCAGACTCTTCAGCTGTGATCGTCATTACAGCCTAGGCATTCACATGGCAAAGAGCAGGTCTGGAGAAACAGTCATGTATACTCACTGTAGCGGCAACACAGGGAGCAAACAGCAACTGGTAGAGTAATGAAACCATTTGTTTATTGATGTTGCTCAAAGCACGTTCTAATATATTCAGCGTTCTAACATTGAAAGCATGAGGCTTCTATACCAAGCATCTTCAGCTGTGATCTTCATTGCAGCCTGGTCTTCTCTTCACATGGGGGAAGAGCAGGAAGCCGCTGAAGGTGCAGTGATTGAATGCATCATCATACACCTTGTTGTTTGACGGGAGTCGCATGTAGACTTGATCTCCCACCTCCAGCTGGATTACGGCCGCATTGGACGAGTAATCATCTTGTTCTCCCGATCCTTGGTAATCACTTACATAAACTATGCGTTGTCCATTCTTATACAGCATTGACCCTATTCTGAGACCAGAGCCAAAACCAAAAGCAGTGAATCTGAAGTAGTAGACTCCTCTCACTGGTGCTGTGAAGATCCCTGTATCAGAGGAAAAGCACTGAGAGACTGTCTAATACGTACACGTGCAAGCTGTCAGTAAACCTGTTATATGGTGGGTTAGTTATCCCTCTATTATCTGAGTGCTTATACAGATACACAGGTAAACAGGTGCATACAGTACCTGTAGCTGGGCTGTAGTGATCGCCAATATTAGTTAAGACTTTAGTGTAGACCAGGGTGATGTCTGTGTTGAAGGGTCCTACATTTCCAGCATCAGTTAACACAGCTGAGAATGCCACCTTCGGTCTGTCTGTGAACACAGGAGAGTCACACACTCATTCATCTTGTCCTGTAATTTCCTCACTTCCCAACATTTGTTCACGAATTTTGAACATGTTATTCTAATAGCCCGTAATTTTTATTTCACATTTTCATGTCCCCCAAAGACTTCTACATTCTACCTGTGAGCTACTTATTGTAATGTCCCCACAAGCATACCAAAAGACTGTCTAAACTTTATCTGCAGTTGGTTATAGGTGTGTGTGCTTCTGAATAGGTGTGAAAGCACCAGATGCCACAGTCAACTGCAGTGGGGTTATTTCCATTCCTGTATTACCTGCAATCTCCCTCTTCAGTTCCTCCACCTGGTTCTCACTGGTTTTCAGCCTGGCTTCCACAGCTCCCAGTTCTGTCTTTGTGGCTCCCAGTTCACCTGTCTGCTTGGCAACCATCTCTCTGAGGGCTGAAATGACACACATTAAAAATGTCTACACATATACAGTACCAGTCACACCTAATTAAGACACACCTATGAAACATGCATTCAAAAGCATTTTGACCTCAAGACTTATACTTAATTGCTTTAAATTTGTTTCCTAGACAAATATAAAGAGTGAAGCTGATACCTACATATGAATGTCCTTCTCAAAACAAACTTTAGTTTTAAAAAATATTTTGGCTACTTTGAAGAATCTAAAATATATGTTATAAATACATAAATATAAGTCTCCATTTGTGCTATGTCATAGTTTTGATGTCTTTACCATTATTCTAAAATGTGGGAAATGGTAAAAATAAAGAAGAACCCTTCTATGATTAGGTGTGTGAAAACATGTACAAATGTACATATTTTAACATCCCAGCTCGCTCTTCAAAATTACCTTCATTCTCCGTCTTCAGCTGAGCCACCCGGCTCTCACTGGTTTTCAGCCTGGCTTCCACAGATTGCAGTTTAACTCTCTGCTCCACCACCATGTCTCTCAGCTCCTTCAGCTCGGTCCAGATGTCGGGTTGGAGTGTTTGTTCGGTGATCTCTCCTACTTCATCCTGAAGCTGAGCCCCAGTCAGACAGCAGCCCAGTAACACCAGCAGAACTACAGTGCTCCTCATTCTTCAACTGAACCCTCAATCCTTCCAGCTCTGTGTAGTTTCTGAGACTCAGTCCCTCTCTTTTTATACACGTGTCTGTGTTAAATATTACACTATTACATCACTGAAAACAGCACTGGTCTCAGGACTCCAAGGACGTAGTTATAAAACACTGTTTGATAATGGAGAGTTTGATACTGATTGACAAACAGCAGAGATTCAGCTAGAGTACTGTGATAACACTGATGTTCAGTCTGTAAGACACACCAGAACACATTTGGTTCTGAATGTGTTTGCTGCTGGAAAGCACTAGCAATTCACCTCCTGACTCTTATCAGCTGGGATCTTCATTTTACAGTCTGGGCTTCTCTTCACATGGGGAAGACCATTAAGCCAGTGAAGGTGCTGCAGCTGGTTTGCGTATCTTGGACCAGAGGTGGAAAACCCAGGCTTCAGAAAATACAAGTCCTACCATGTATTTGTTCTAGCCATTCACTAAACAAGGTGAGTTCACTAATTGGCTCCTCTACCTGGCTGAAGAGTTGTGCTAATTAAATTCAGCTGGTGTAGTGCATGGGTGGAACAAATATGTGGTAGGACTTTTACTTTCTGAAGCCGGGGTTTTCCACCTCTGTCTTGGACACGATGGCCTGACAGGAGTCACCTGCCACCTCCAGCATGAATCAGTGATCAGTAACCTCTCCAAAACACTTGATCTCCCTAATGAAAGACATGACTGACAAGTCCTTGCCTCTGCAGAAGCAGCAATGTGCTGTAGTGGTAAGACGCAGAGATGGTAGCCCAGAGGTTGCTGGCTTGATTCCCTGGTGCCCACCGGTGGGCAGCAATGTGCTGAGTGGTAAGGTGGAGGGCTCGTAACCAAAAGGTTGCTGGTTCATATCCCTGCTGGGGCACTGCTATCGTACCCCTGGGCAAGGTAGTTTAAATTTACATTTACTCATTTAGCAGACGCTTTTATCCAAAGCGACGTACAAAAGTGCAGATAGTGGGCAAACAACAGGGACAAGGGCAAGATGTGTACAATTTAGATAGTGCTGAAGCTTAGCACAAAGTAAGTGTAGCGAGACAGAGCTAACCTGATCTGAGGTTACATACATCAAATACAGTCACTGGGACAATAAAGTGCTGCTATATTACCTAGGCAAAGATGTGCTACAAATACACCGTAACAGATAGTGCTACAAGTACGAGCCAAGAATTTACAAGGTTGAATGGCAATGGTGTCAGTCCGGGTATAGTCTGAAGAGATGTGTCTTTAACCCAAGTCTGAAAGGTTGGAGTGAAACCCACAATTGCCTCAGTAAATATCCAGCTGTATAAATGGATGAAATTTTAAGTCGCTCTCGATAAGAGTGTCTGCTAAATTACAATAACGTGAAATATCACCTCCTATCCAGGGCTGAAGATCACTGGCAGATCACTGAGAAGTAGAGAAATGATTCCAACCCTGCCTGCCATAACCACGGGACTCCATTGCTCCTTTTTGCAATTAGATTTTCACAGTATAAGCAAAGGTGCTGACTTGAAATTAGGATTTGATGTTTTTCACATTTCCTGCATTGCATTGGGTTTTGTAAGTTTCTTTTTTAACTGTGCTAAATTGGAAAGTAATTCAGACTTGTCTGCAAATTTGTACTAATTAGGCTGAAAGTGATTTAAGATAGTGTATTTTGAATATTACAGAATTTTAGGACCCATTTTGGGGATCACATCTGAACCGCCTGCCAAGACCTCAAATGACCTTTCCCCAAACATGCCACAGTTGATGGGTATTCCGGTGACGTGCACTGGGCAGAGATTATGGGCTGCATCGTCAAAATAATTGTAGGCATAATTCATTTCGCTGTCTTGCTGGCGAACTTTATTGCAAGTAAACCGGCTAAAATATTCAAGAAGCTTCACTTGCTGGCTAGCAACAGCTACCGATGTATCAGAACGAAAGACGCAGAGCATAAACATGGGCGTTTTACCCCAAATGTTTTAATGAATATCATGAATGAATATATAAGGGTAGCTTCACATATTTGTTACAATGACAGACATTCTGCATAAATGACGTCTCAAACCTTACAAATAAATCTCAGTAACGTGCGGTTGCACGCCCGTGCCTATTCTCCAAACCGTGCACTTTCACTAGCAGAGGAAGCGCGACTTTACCATCTATGTTTTCCAAAGGGGGTACTCGGTCTCACGGTCCAGTTTTACATGTGTAACAGGTACACTCAAATCACATTGCAGGCACGTTTTAAAGCATTTAATAAGTAGCATTTCCTATATCCGTGTGTCGTCAGTCGTCCTGGAGCACTTCTTTGACCAAAATCCTTTAAAGAAATAATGGTCTGCTCCGTCAGTGCATCAGTTCTCTTTAGTGTTTGCCAATGTTGGAGGTGTAACCGGGGTCTGTCCCTCGAAAACAGGTAAAATATCGTAATTGAATCTAAAATCACATTGCGTCGACGAGTCATAGGGCGCCGGCAAAAGCGGCAGCTTTATATTCTGTTGACGGTAGAGTCTGTTAAACTGCCGATGACTTGAAAAAAGAGGAGGGGTTGGGAGATGCAAGCGAAGTGGGGTGTTTGGTTTTCAGCCATGATGTCGGCTTTAGCCAGCTAGCTAAGCAAGCAGGCAAAGTGGCTTGGTAGCGAGCTAACAATAACGTGTCAAATGTCACAGTTTGACACAGTGGTTAGGTGTTACACGCATGTTTTCCTACTCTGCAGTTGATGACCGTTAACACCAGCGAGGCCAAGCTAATTTCTAAATATGCATCAGGATAATTTTCACGTCTTCATCTTAACAGAATGGTGCTGTCAAGTCGGCGGCGAGGCGGTTTGTGGATCATTCACAGAAGATGTAGCCAGCTTGCTAGCGAGCTTTGCTGAGATTTGGCTTGCCGTTTTGAAGAAGATCATACTTGCTTTGGTGCATTTATTTATTTGGACAAATGTTGCACACACGTCAGCCGGTGTAACTGGCTGCATTTGCTTTGAGCGAGATGCTCATGGTGGATGTGTCGGTCAGCTAACTAGATCAAACCACGACCTTGTTGGATTGCAATGCATAGCTGCAGGTAGTCACCAAAATATTTAGCTAGATATGTAGCTACCCAGATAACCGAGAAAGCTGTCAGTTTGCTCCTTGTTGTCCACCAAAACAAGACTGTTCGAGTGTCATGAAACCTTGCTAGGTCACACACCTAGACTCTACCGTGAAATTAGCTTTGCAGCCAGCTAAATTATTTTTGGGACCGGCATAGATAGAAAAGTGATGACATAAGACTAATGTAATACAGTATTCCCTACATAACTAGCTAGGCAACTGATGTAAGATATATGAAATCGGATTATTAGCTGAATAGTAAAGATGTGGCGAGCTAATGTAATATTAACGACTAACAAGCGTCTACCTCCCCTGTCAGCCTCGGAGTCCACTCATGAGAGTTCATTCATTACAAGGAAGATTTGATGTTTTTTTTTTTTTGTTTTTTTTTAAACTGGAGATGCATGGTATGCAGTAACACTAGCAGTAGTTTGCTGCTCTGGGTTACCTGTCGGCCTGTGCCCCTGCTTTTTGAATGGCATGTGGTTGTCAGATTATTGAATCCCACTCATCCAAATTACTGTGCTGTTGAGAACATACTTAATTTGCTGTTCATCAGCTGTTCGCTGTCCTCTGAGGTGTGTAGAGCCAGGCAGCGTGCTGGCATAATTGAGAGAGGTAGACTGGGCAGTCATGTCTGTTAAACATTCTCAGTGATTGTGAAAATAATATGAAAATATGGGGCCACAGTGTAGCATAGTGGTAAGGAGCAGGACTCATAACCGAAATGTTGCCGGTTCGATTCCCCGCTGGGGCACTGCTGTTGTACCCTTGGGCAAAGTACTTAACCCTGAATTGCCAGCTGTATAAATGGATAAAACTGTAACCTATGTAAGTCGCTCTGGATAAGAGCATCTGCTAAATGCCAATAATGTAATGAAAATTGGCTTTTGGTCACTGCGGGATCAACATTGCGCGCTTGTCTAATATTCCAAACCAAAAGACAAAACTGGATTTGATTTTCATTTGTTCTGATTGTCACTCATGCAGTTTTACCAGAGGAGGCTGTGGGAGCTGTGAAACTGGTCACTGTAGTCCTGCCGCTTCCCCACGATGTCACTGAGAACTGATATCTGTCTCTGGCAGCTAGCTTGTACCTTGTCTGGCCAATTATTGAAACCTGGTCATGCAGCACTTCTAATATTTTTTGACTCCTTACATGGCTTTTTGCTTGTGTTGGGCTCTGCCTCACTTGTAAGTCGCTTTGGGTAAAAGCGCCTGCCAGAATGAATGAATGTAAATATAGACAAATGAAATCAGCTGTACTTGTTTTTATATGCATATTTACAATGTGGATCCGCCCCCAAAGGGGTGGGGCATGGGACAGGATCCCTCCCCAGAATGCCTGGAGTTCTAAGCAGCGAACTGGTCAGGGTCTCTGTAGAGGACGTCCCGCAGTGTTCATTGCCAGCCTGTGTTTCCAATGGCACATGTAAGCCGCAGTGGTCAGGAGAGAGACGAGCAGCCTCCCCGCCAAGCCTGGAGGAGCACACAGTGATGAGTGTGAGGCCAGGATGAGCCGCAGATGGGGAGGCACATCAGAGTGACCCCAGCTCACCTGGCTGCAGGTTGGGGAGGTTTGGGGAGAGTGAGCTGGGTGGAAGGCCTGACCAGTCAGCCGGGGAGTTGGAGGGACTTGTTTTTAGAGAAATGGCCAGCACGAACTAGGTACAGAGCAAAGTTGTAGGTAAGTTATGATGTTAACAGGTGGAGATTTTAGGGAATTGGGATGTGTGTAATGAAGCTTTTTTTTTCTCCTTGAGCTGATCACTCTGGGTGGCTGCAGTGTTCAAATATATATGTACACACGTGCACATATTGTATTTGTTTGTTTTATCCTTTCCGGAATGATAATGGTTCCAGAAATTTGTACTGGAACAAGCTGGCACTGTATAAAGCAACTGTGAATCCAGGCCAAGGCCTTGGAGTGTTGCAGATAGGTTCAGGTGTCTTTTTTCCACGTGGCCCAGTTTGTCCCTGGAAGCCTAGCTGTATATTTGTGAAAATAAATGGCTGTGGCCTTGTAGGCTCTCTGTGGATCGCTCTGGGTACTGCCTGTCCCCTGAAATCTGACCCAGGAGCAGTTTACCCAGGCTTTATCCAGACTGCTGTCATTATAGAGTAAAGGGTGGAGACTGATCCAGGATCAGGGATTGGGGGGCAAGATCACTGGGTCATGGCCTCCTCTGTGATCTGTGTGTGTGTGTGTGTAGAAGGCCAATCATTTCTTCCTGGTTACACCTAGTTTGTGTGTGTGTGTGTGTGTGTGTGTGTGTGTGTGTGTGTGTGTGTGTGTGTGTGTAGAAGGCCAATCATTTCTTCCTGGTTACACCTAGTTTGGCTTACCCATGCTGACAATAAGCAGACCTACTCAACATGAAGAGATGTTGTTTGTGTCATCCTGGTGAATGGACAAGCAGCAGATTAACTGAAAGATATGCTGATTTTCAATTCACAACCCCCAGGAAGCACAGAAGCATGTCATGCGTTACACAGTGTAGGGGGTTGAAAGTCTTTATTCAGTATAGTGTAGGGGTTTGGAAGTCATATTTCAGAAATAGTGTAGGTTGTGTAGGGTTTGTGTAGACAAGGACTTTCTAACATGCATTTTTTATTTCTTAAAAAATAATATGTTATAAAATACATGTACGTATGTATTTTATTAGTTACAAAAATTTGTCAATGTAATATTAGATAAATAAATAAAAAGTTGAAAAGTCTGAAAACATCAGTGTGAGGGGTAATTGTAGGGGTAATTTTATTCTGTTTCCCTCCCAAAACTGAAAGCCATTTC